CTGACAGTCATATGCGTCAACAACAAGACTTTATAATGTCAAAAATTCAGACAGCAGTAAATCAGCCTGACATCCGCCTACGCTACTTACTTCGAACAAATGCATTGTACTAGGGCTAGTCATGAGGTACTGAGCGCCACACATATACTTCCACGCTTTAGCCCTCACCGACGGAGGTATGCCCTTTCGACAACGACTTTTTACCTGTAAACGACGAAGTGTTAAGGAACGACGGAACGTACAAAGACGAAGGATGTTTTTGGCAGGTCGATGACTGCTCACCTTGTCGAAGTGCCTGTTCATGTAATCCGGCCAGTGCTTAAACATATCCAACCATTTCATCTCTCGCTTCCTCAGGATCGAAACCGGCAATATCAGTGGCCTGAAAATAAAACCAACTGTCACAAAACGTGAAAAAAACAAAACTCAGAACATGCCCAGAAAATAGAGAGAAAAGTGAGCAACGAATTAAAGATTTTCTTAGATTAGCATGTTAGTGAAATTTTTACACACTGAAACTATGAAAGATCCACTGCCTAAAATACCACAGACAAATAACTAACTACTGGCATATGCAAATGAGAAACTCATCAGAAGTACAGTGCACAGTACAGAAAATGTGCGAAAAAAACGCTGTGAACAAACGTAATACATTTATTTACGGTGTACATCGCTACAACCAAAATCATCATTATCTTGAACACTGTGACTGAGAAAAACAGCATAAAAAACGGGTTACTAATAAACAACGCAAAAAATAATGTAGTCTAACGATGATAGACTAGTACTGACGTTTCGGCTCAGGCCTCACGAGTCTTCCTCAAAGTAGGACGCTGGCAAGTGTTAGAGATTTTTCTTGTTCTCCACAGGCAAAAGGACTTCCGGCTCAAAACCTACCAACCGGAATCGACACAAGAAAAATTTAGAGCTTTATCTTCCCAATGAAAAACCCGTTTTATGATTTCGTCATATTGAAGATATCTTCATCCTCAACAATAATAATTCTAAGTCACTCAACTGTTTTCTCATCTAGTCAAATTCACTACGTACGTTTTACATATCTTTCAGATTCTCTGTATGTAGAAAACGGACCAATTCCAATCGTTATTTAAATCGTTTCTTTCATAGTTCTTAATCCGTCGTCAGTCAAGTCAGATGAAGCATACAAACTCATTTAACCGGTGTTTAACGCTCTGTCAGCATAACTGCTTCCGTTCCTACAGTAACCTTCCTTCATCCTCCATAGCAGTCTCATAGGATGTGCATGCATAGAAGGTCAACGGCAAGTCAGAATGTTACTTATAACTGCTCTTGCAGCTCTGGCTGTCTCACAGTCCTTGCCAAGAAAGGTAAAATGGATCGCCGGTAGAGGTCTATCAAAAGTGTTAAACCGGTTGAGGGCTTTGATGCGGAGAAAGAACGCGCTGAAACCTCGGGGAAAAAAGAGTGACTATCATCAGCCAGCATACCATGACCCAATATTATCAGACTTACCAATATTACAAAATGCATGCATTTCAGAGTCTCCAAGTCTTGCAATCGAAAATGTTTCTGAAGAAACTAAACATTTTGGGGAACTTCCCTGAAAAATGTCTAAGCGAAATGTTTAGTTGAGTCTATAATCACTCACCCTATTCTTTAACCTTTGCCTAAAGTCAATATCAATAACAATCTCTATTCCATATATACATGGTATATCCGAAGATATACACAAGTTAGCTGGAAGCAAGATCTTAATGTATTGTTTTCTAGAAGTCTGACCTTCGGTTCTGCGCTTTACAAGAAACCGTCTGCCATTCGAATAAAAAAAAAGACTATCCTATTTAGTACAACAGCGAAGAACAGATTTACACTGGGAAAACCTTCAGCCATTGAGCATTCGAATTTGTGAACGCAAACGAGCTATCGCCAACAATCATCCAGAACCCTCTGGTTTCGCTGTTCATGCTTCAGAACGTGTTCATGATCTTTTACAAAAAATGAGTCAAAGGTTTACCATAAGCATGCTAAAAGTAAGTTGGTGATCACAGAATGGCTGCAAATTGTAGCTAATAAGAACAAGCCGATGGTTACTTAGCTTTTTTGACATCAAGAAATGATTTTGTTTACTGTATCCACTTTTAAGCCATGTGAGTCATTCAATACCGTTGCTAGTTTTCTGTACCCTAGAAGGCCACTACTGGATGGCCAAAAAGCTGACAACGGAATGGTGCAATGAAGGTTTTGGAAAATCGGCCATCGTTGTAAACCAAAAACCAATGAATCGTAAAGAGATTTACTGAAAATACTTATCCGCTTGCCAAAGCAGTCAGGAGTCGAACTCAACGTTTTTAATATTTATAATAACAATAACAACTCCATCATGGCCGGTCCCAAGCCCGGATGAGAAAGGAGGACGGTTGGAGACCGTGGCAAGTCTCCGTAAAATTCA